CCCCCTCCGCCCCCCACCTTCGAGCCCCGCAGTGAGTTTGAGCAGATGACCATCTTGTATGACATTTGGAACTCGGGCCTGGACTTGGAGGACATGGGCTACCTGCGGCTCACGTACGAGCGGCTGTTGCAGCAGACAAGCGGGGCTGACTGGCTTAACGACACCCACTGGGTCCATCACACCAATATCCTGGGCCCTAGCGGCCGGCCTGCTCTGGACAGGAGGGCAGGCCTCAGTGGTGGGGGCAGTAGCCCCCTCAGGTTGCAGCTAGCCTCTGGGTTTATCTCCCTGTCCGGTGCTCTCTGCCACGGCCAGCCTGGGTGTTTCTCACCTGGTCTCCAGGCCATTCTTTTCTTTCTGCCTCTTGCCCCTTCTCTGCCTCCCAGAGTTTTTCTGGCAGAAAAGGTGAGGTCTGAGACTTCCTTCTCTCCATGTTTCTGTCCTTCTCACACTAAATAATGCTTGGGACCTCCAGCTAAGGTCAGTCACCCTTTCCTTGGGCTGGGACTGGGGGGATAGAGGGGAGAGGGCCCCGGGGATCTGGCCAGTGAGGAACCCATTTTCTTCCTTAACACCCTGCACTCACCAACCTGAGCACTCCAAAACGCAAGCGGCGGCCCCAGGACGGGCCCCGTGAGCACCAGACAGGCTCAGCCCGCAGTGAAGGCTATTACCCCATCAGCAAGAAGGAAAAGGACAGGTACCTGGATGTGTGCCCTGTTTCGGCCCGGCAGCTGGAAGGAGCGGACACTCAGGTAAGGCTCTGGCCTGGTACCTGGCCCCCTGGCATCTCTTCCCGTGGTTTCTCCTTTCACTCACCTCCCGCCCCCACCCCGACCCTCGTCCTGCTTCTCCCAGGGGACTAACCGTGTGCTTTCGGAGCGCCGGTCTGAGCAGCGGCGGCTGCTGAGCGCCATTGGCACCTCTGCCATCATGGACAGTGATCTGCTGAAGCTGAACCAGCTCAAGGTGAGGAGCCGGGACTCGGGGGGGAAGAGCGGCTCGGAGGGAGGGCGGCATCACGAAGTCGCCTGGGGGTGGGCATGGAGGCACGGGGCCAAAAGCACGCTCCTCCCCTTGGAGGAGGGCAGCCAAGGCAAGGGGTTAGGTTGAGGGAGGCACCGAGCAGCACCGTTTGCCTTCTGCCCTCTAGTTCCGGAAGAAGAAGCTCCGGTTCGGCCGCAGCCGGATCCATGAGTGGGGTCTGTTTGCCATGGAGCCCATTGCAGCCGACGAGATGGTCATCGAATACGTGGGTCAGAACATCCGCCAGGTGAGGCCCTGTACCCAGCCCCCAGTCAGATGGCCGCACGGGACGCTGGCATGAGAACCACCTCATCTCTGGGTAAAGCCCCACGTGACCTCCCGGTTCCAAGATGTAGTTGGTGAAACCTGCCTCTTTGTGTTTCCTTCCTTCCATCAACAGTTAGTAATGGGTACTCCTAAGCTAGATGGGAATGATCCAGGAAGAAGCAAGACCAGTGTTCTTTCTCGCTTTAAGGGCCTCCTAGTTCAGTGGGGGAAGACAGCCGCTGCACAAGGAACTGCACCGAACGATGGCATTTGGTCGGTCGGGAAGGGGAAGTTCGGGGAGGCCGCAGCGGTGGGCGCACAGTGATGTGGAACCCAGGAGCTGAAGGATGACGACGAACTCCCAGACTCAGATGAGGGGAGGGGTGCTCCAGTTGCCAGACAGTGTGTGCAAAGGCCCAGAGACAGGATAGTCTTAGGAGGGCAAGGAGGTCAGTATGGCTAGTTGGAGAAACCAGGGCCGGCGGCCGCAGTGAAGGTTAGAGAGGCCAGTGGAGGCCAGATTCCGCGGAGCTTAGGAGCCGTGGTGGTGAGCTGGGGCCGGCTGTAGGGGGAGGGAGGCCGTGGCCAAGCGCCCAGTGGTAACGGGCTTTGCAGCGTGAGGGGACAGCCAGAGGCCACGACCGGCGGGGGCGCTGTCACAGGGATCCCATAGAGGCCCAGGTGGCCCAGACTAGGCAGTGGCAGCCTAGTGGCAGCTGAGGTAACAGAGGAGCCTGTGGGTCCAAGGCAGCTGGCAGCAACGGGCAACGAGCTGGCTCCAGTGAGCGGGGCCCGGGGGGAGGCGAGGCCATTTCTCAGCACTGCTCGGAGCAGCTGGACGTAGCTCGGGCTGCCAGCGAGGTGGGCAGTGAGGAGGAGCAGCAGCTGTGTGGTCGAATGGAGTTCCAGTCGGGGACGCGTGCCATTGCCGGGCCCTGGGGACATCTAGAGGATGACGCCCAGCAGCTCCACCGAGGTGGATTTTGGCTGGAGATGGAAGTTGGGGAGGAGTCCCTAGCACTTATCTGGCAGCTGAAGCCGTGGAAGAGAGTGAGATCACCCAAGGAGAGAGCAGAGGGTTGAGCGTCCCATTCTCTGGGAAATAGGAGTCACTCCTCGCACAGGACTGTGGGCCCTTACGGTGCCGAGTGGCAGCCTGTGGGTGCCTGTTTGGGAGAGAGAGGGTCCTCGGAGAAGAGATGAGCAGGGTTCAGCCTCTGAAATGGCCTTGTCATCTCGGGAACTGGCCTGCCCACTTTGGGCCAGGCAGGGGCTCCTGCCCACTGACCCCTGCAGACTTCCCCGAGGTGCCCTTTGGGAGACTCAGAATGGCAGCCAAAGGTATCCGGGGCAGGGCCGGGGGGGCACCCTAAGAGACAGGGCTCCCGGAAGCAGACAGCACCTTGGGTTGGTGGGAGCCAGAGGAAGAGCTCTGCAGGTCCAGGACAGGTCGATGTGGCTCCCAGGGTGGTAGCTGGGGACTGTCCGGGGCCCCTTCACCGGGGCTGGTGGGGTCAGGCTCTGGCTGGCAGCTGACCGTGGCGGCACCCCGTTCTACCAGATGGTGGCCGACATGCGGGAGAAGCGCTACGTGCAGGAGGGCATCGGCAGCAGCTACCTGTTCCGGGTGGACCACGACACCATCATCGATGCTACCAAGTGCGGCAACCTGGCGAGGTTCATCAACCACTGCTGCACGGTACGTGGGGTGGGGGGTCCCGGCCGGGGGTGGGGGGCGGGGATCCCGGGGCAGGGCCCACGGCTCACACTGCCCTCCCCTGTGCAGCCCAACTGCTATGCCAAGGTGATCACCATCGAGTCCCAGAAGAAGATTGTGATTTACTCCAAGCAGCCCATCGGTGTGGATGAGGAGATCACGTACGACTACAAGTTCCCGCTGGAGGACAACAAGATCCCGTGTCTGTGCGGCACCGAGAGCTGCCGAGGCTCCCTCAACTGAGGGGCAGGACGGGTGCCCGCGCCCCTATTTATTCCCCTTGGGGCTCCGCAGGCCTCACCTGCCCCGAGCCCAGTGAGGGAGCCTCAGTTCCTTGAGGCAACGTCTGCCTGCCCCGTCGCCCCTGCCCACCCACCCCCTAACTTTTTTTCTTTGCGGAGAAGAAGCTGTAAATGTTTTGTAGCTGCCAGCAGCTGTTTCCTGTGGAAACCTGGGGTGCCGGCCTGTACAGATCCTGTTCTTGGGGGGCTGCTAGCCCCTTTGCTTTGTGTTAATGGGGACTTCCCCTTTGTGCCCTGCGTGCACCCCTCCCCAGTTTAGGGGTCTCTAGGGGCAGTGGCCATGTTCTCCCCCTGGGGGGGGGGCCCTGTGCCCCCAGTCCTAGGGACTCCGTGCCTGGAACCCTGCCTCATCTTCTGTTCCTGCCAGACCCTGTGGGTCACCCTCCCACCCTGGCGTCTGGAAGCTCCTGTTCCGTCAGGCCAGGATGGTGGGGGGTGGGCCCTTCCTGTTGGGCTGGATTGTACATATGTTAATAGCGCAAACCCAACGCCACATTTTTATAATTGTGATTAAACTTTATTGTACAAAAGTGCTTGGTCAGTATCTTTGGGGAAGAGTAGGTGGGGGATGGGGGTTTAAGGACAGAGGATGGGTTGAGTGAAGAGAGGGGGAAATGGGTGGCCTGAGGTTTGCGGTGGGTAGACGTACAGACTCAACCACCATTGCTCTGGGCCACCTATTAGGCTGGAATGGTCATCCAGAAATCCCCCACCAAGGTCAGCTGGAGCTGGGCCAAGGTCGGCCTCCCTTCCCTTCCCAGAACCACAGCTGCTGCTGGGCTTCTGGCATCCTGGGAAATCCAGCAAGAGGGGAGGACTGATGTCATGCAGTAGGAATGAGGTCACCGCACCCGCTCCGTCCTCAGTGCCCACCCAGCAGGTTGTGGCTTCCCCAGCCCCCTTCCCCAAGTTCTTTGCTGGAACCAGCTGCCAGCGGACTGCAGAGTGGCCGCCAGGGGGCGCCCTATGGCAAGAGTGCTGGGGACGGAGGGGTGGAGGCTGGGCTGGTGTCTGTTCCTGGAATGGGCCAGGAGGGAGGAGGAGCAAGCGGAAGGGGACGGTGTGGTGGCCGGCTGGCCCAGGCGTCGAGAGAAGACGGCCCGTCCGGTGGCCAGTTTGGGTATCCTGGGAGCGTGGCTGCAGGTAGGCCGAGGTGATGCCAGGGCCCCAAGGTCCCTTTCCCTAGTCACAGCCCTTCCCGTCTCCCTCTTTCTTCCTCAGCTCTTTACCTCCTGCCCTCCATTTTTGTCCCAGAACCACCCCCTCCAGCTCAGCCCCTGAGCCCTTCCCAGACGCCAGGCCCTCAGCCTTCTTCTCTCGGGAGCTGCAGTTGGCAGGCTCAGAGGGCAGGTAGCCTGGCTGCTGCAGCCCCAGCTGCAGGTTCGGGAGCCTACCAGGCCAGAGGCGACGGCGAGGGGTAACAGGTGTGCCGCCGGCACCGGGTGTGCGGGGGCAGGCAGCTCGGGTTCTCTTCCCCAGCCAGGCATGGCCGAGTCCACAGAGGTCCGGAAGCTGGTGTACCTGGTCACAGGTGGCTGCGGCTTCCTGGGGGAGCATGTGGTGCGGATGCTTCTGCAGCGGGAACCCCGGCTCTCGGAGCTGCGGGTCTTTGACCTGCACCTGGGCCCCTGGCTGGAGGAGCTGAAGACAGGTGACCATGGTGGGGAGAGACGCGAGGGTGGGGTGGGCGGACTCCGCTGGCCGGGGTGGAAAAGATGATGCGTGTTTGTATCTTCCATGGATGGGATGAATGAGTCACCTTGGGAACATGTGGCTCCTAAGGGTGTAGGCTGAGCCCAGCAGCTGGCCGGCAGCCCCAGCTCTGACACTGCCTCTGGCTGCCCCCATCCCTACCAGGGCCCGTGCAGGTGACTGCCATCCAGGGGGATGTGACCCAGGCCCACGAGGTGGCAGCGGCTGTGGCTGGAGCCCACGTGGTCATCCACGCAGCTGGGCTGGTGGATGTGTTTGGGCGGGCCAGCCCAAAGACCATCCACGAGGTCAACGTGCAGGGTGAGGTGGCTGCTTGTTCCCTACCCCCTCTTTGACCTTGACTTCTGGGATTCTCCTGTGTCTCCTCTGGACACTCCTGCCCCCGCTGTAATGGCGGGTCCGGCGGCCCTCAGCCCCGCTGTGGTTTTCCCTGGACCCGGGGAAGGAAGCCTGGGGCCGTCATCCAGATTTGAGATGCGGGGTGGGAAAGATGCAGAGAGGGAGGAAGTTGTAGCTGGGGTCCACCCTTCCCCTCCCCACCACCTCTCCCAGGCACAAAGAACGTGATTGAGGCTTGTGTGCAGACTGGAACACGGTTCCTGGTCTACACGAGCAGCATGGAAGTTGTGGGGCCCAACATCAAAGGCCACCCCTTCTACCGGTAAGCTGAGGTTCCCCTCAAGACTCTAGGAGCCCCATCTCCCCTCAGCATTAAGAATTTTCCCTCTCCCTCAACTAGGGGCAATGAGGACACCCCCTATGAAGCAGTCCACAAACACCCCTATCCTTGCAGCAAGGCCCAAGCTGAGCGGCTGGTCCTGGAAGCCAATGGAAGGGAGGTGAGACAGGAGGCGAAGAGACACGAAGCCGGGGTGGGGAGGGCTGCCAGGGCGGGCGGGACTTCTCCGCAGCCTGCCCTGGGCACCTCCCTTCCATCTCCAATTTGAGGGGGCCGGGCCAGAGGGCAGGCTGCCGGGTCCTGGGCCTTCACCATGCCTGCCTTTCGCCCCCAGGTCCGTGGGGGGCTGCCCCTGGTGACGTGTGCCCTGCGTCCCACTGGCATCTACGGCGAAGGCCACCAGATCATGAGGGACTTCTACCACCAGGGCCTTCGCCTGGGGGGTCGGCTCTTCCGGGCCATCCCAGCCTCTGTGGAGCACGGTCGGGTCTATGTGGGTAAGGCCCCGGCTACACAGCGGGGAGGCTGAGAACGGGGCAGGGCCCGTGTCGTCCTGGGTGGGCGGTGTGCGCCCCCGGCCAGCGAAGGGTGAGCCACGCGTGGGCCGGAGCAGCCGGATGCGCGGGCCTTGCCTGCACGACCAGAGAGGAAGCGGCGGCCGTGCGAGCTGGGAAGGCGAACGGAAGAACTATGTCCCCGGGCGAGGACAGGACCGCGCTGACGGGAGCCGCATCTCCCCGGGAGAGGCCAGGGGCAGCACCCGCACGGGAGCCGCCGAAGCAGTAGCCTCCACCCAGGCTGGCCCTGGAGGGCAAGTGGCCACAGGGGCTGGGGAGAAAGCAGCCTTTACAAGGGCCGTAGTTACGCGAGCGCGTGCACGTGAGCCCAAAGCCGGGGGCGGGGGCCGGGGTGGGGGGGCGGCTTGGACACCGGCCGGCCCGGGAGAGGGCAGCCTCTCCGCGGGCTCCGGGGCACTCGGGGCCACAGCCGCCTCCCTTCCCCCACCGGTAGGCAACGTGGCCTGGATGCACGTGCTGGTGGCGCGGGAGCTGGAGCGGCGAGCGGCACTCGTGGGCGGCCAGGTGTACTTCTGCTACGACGAGTCGCCCTATAAGAGCTACGAGGACTTCAACATGGAGTTCCTGGGCCCCTGCGGGCTGCGGCTGGTGGAAACCCGCCTGCTGGCGCCCTACTGGCTGCTGATGCTCCTGGCTGTTCTCAACGCCCTCCTGCAGTGGCTGCTGCGGCCGCTGCTTCTCTACGCGCCCCTGCTCAACCCCTACACACTGGCCGTGGCCAACACCACCTTCACCGTGAGCACCGACAAGGCTCAGCGCCACTTCGGCTACGAGCCCCTGTTCTCGTGGGAGGACAGCCGGACCCGCACCATCCGCTGGGTGCGGGCCATGGAGGGTTCAGCCCAGTGACGGTGGAGCTAGGGCCTGGAGCATCCATCCGGGTCCGGAGCCCTCAAACCTTGGAGGGGGGAGTGCGGGTGGGGGGAGGTGGGGAGGCTGCAGTCTGGAGCTGGAGCAGGGGTCTGGGGCCAGCCTGGTTGTCCCTACAGCTCTCCCTGTGTCGCATCCACGAGCCTTGAGTCGGTGTCCTCGTGCCTCTTAAGTTCTAGGGCGGGGCTTTGGGACAGGCGTGTCTTCACTCTCAACCCAGGCCTGACGGCTGGTGGGCGAATGTCCGATGCCCCTGATGATCTCAGCTACCCCGTCCCATTTCCGGCTTTTCAAGCAGGAAGTGAGTAGGACTTCCACGGGCTTCGTGCTGGCCTTCTGAGGTCCAGGCCTGGACTCGGGCCTCCATTCGGCGGGAAGATTCTTTCTGGCTCCTCCCACCACCTTTGGCCCTCCTTGGGGGTCACAGTCCCGTTCTTTTAAAAATATTTATCACCTTTAGACAGCCCTCTCTTCTCTTCAACGAAGCCTAAGATCTGTGCATTCTCCCTTCTTCTGCCCGCTCCACCCAAATTAGTTCCTACAATATTGTGCTGTACATGGCCGAGCCCTGGATTAAAGCTGCCTACCCAAGCCTGTGTCCATCTACCTGTCCGCTCCCCCCTCCTGCCTCCCACCCTGTCTCCCCCTCCCCACGGCGCCTGTCCCATGTGGGGACAGAAGGAAGTGAGCACACAGCACGCCCGCTGTTGGATTGGTTGCTATTTCTCCCGTCCCACGGGGCCCAACCCGGCCCGCGGTGGGGGTGGGGGGGCTCTGGGGACAGGACATGCAGGGCGGGGTGGGGGGGGCAGAATTTTCCTGTGTTTTATCCATTTGCAACTTGGTCACCAATAGAGAGAGATGGGACTCTGAGGGCTAACAGGAGAGGGTGGCCTGGCTCTGGGCCCCCAGCCAGGCCCCAGGAGTCCTGTCCCCTCCGGAGAGGAGAGGGAAAGAGCTCTAGAAACCAACGGAGAAACAGAAGGGGCAAGGGCTCATGTCAGCAAACACGGCTACATCACGTGACACGCCAGCGACACGGAAACACACGCCAACGCACACGGCTGCACAGCGGGCGGGGGCGGGGCAGGGAGCCGGGGGCCACCCATCTTGTCCTGTGCGGGGCGGGCTGGGGGGACAGGGCGAATGCATAGAACACATCATGTACACACGCTCAACGCGCGGCAAGAGCGTGCATCGCCCGACAGGCACATGGGATGGACACGCAGTGTGCTTCGTGAGAGGCAGGGCTGGGGGGGGAGGGGACAGGAAAGCAGCGAGGCCCGGCCAGGCCCAGGGCCACCCACGGGGCACACATGGGCTTGGGGGGTCGCAGGTGCGTGGAGGGAGAGCCGCACACACTCATCCGAGAACATGCGTGACACCAGCCCCCAGACAACGGTCCACGACACACACCGACACAGCAGCCGACAAGCGGCCGTCACATGATGTGGGGACTTGAAGAAGCTGCGGCACAGCAGCCCCTCGGGGATCCTCCCAGAGACGTGGGCCTGACACCACTCACGGAGGCCACAGCAGCACTCCAGCCGCGGTTCCGCCCTCGCGCTCGTGGCCCCAGGGCTGTGGGAATTCCGGGAACACCGGGGCTGCGAGGCTGTCCTGGCTCGGCGGCAGGAAGGGAAAAGGGCGGGGGTGCCGGGGCCCGTTCTGATGTCCCCAAAGGTGGCTGACATGGGAGCACGAGGGCTGTAATTAGATGCCGGGGCAAACTTCCCGTCCTGCAGAAGGACATTCTTGGAAGGGATGGGCAGGCTCCCCTCCTGGAGAGAGCCCACCGTGGGGGCTGTAACGACCGACCGGCCTCAGGCGGGGCTCAGACAGCTCAGGTAGGGAAGGGGTCAGCTACAAGAGCTGGGGGGGGCGGGCGGGAGGGGTATTGTGTTCTGGAAGGCCACATCTGCATTGGCTCCCTGTCTCTGTGTCTCTCACACTCACACACACACATACACACACAATGCACAGGAAGCGGGACCCTGGGAAACAATCTGCACACACGTACGCGACCCCTTCGCCCTGTGCACACGCACGCCCAGCCCTGGGTGTACACTCCCGTCCACGCGGGTCCTTGGCTCATGCACCTCCCGCCTGCCACCAGCCTCGCGAACCCACCCGTGCCTCGGGCAGGTGTGGTCCACGCAGCGAGGGAGGCGCTGGCCTCTGCCTCGCCCTCAGACACCCGGGCCCGTGCGTCACCTCAGTCTCCACCCGGGGCATGGGAGGGGGCGGGCAGGGTCGGGGACAGCCATGGCCAACATCTAGCAGGAGATGTGTCCAGGGGAGGGGTCCCGGGACTCAGCTCCCCTGGGGCGGAGGCCACCACACTGGCAGAGCCCGGGGCATCCAAGGGAGTGCTGAAGACACACACTGGCCTCTCCCAGTTCTGAGGGAAACGTGTGCAAGGCGCGAGTGCCCTCCTTTTCAATCTGTCCGGGGCAGCCCTGGACGTGCCCCTCATCGGTAACATCTCCCACAAAGAGCCCTTCCAGGCGGCACCGGCGTGTGGGCAGCTTGGCCGCGTCGGCGGACATGGCCACGCCCGGGGCCGGGGGGGGGGGGCACCCGCGCGGGGCCTCCTCGGCCCCGGGCACGTGTGAGCACACGGACGTATCCCCGCTCTCCCAGCTGCAGGGCTACCCTCTGGCAGAGACATAGAAAAGACTGGCACGTGGGCATGTGTGCACAGGGGCTCGGAGACCTGGCAGGGCAGGAAGCGCCAGTTGCACAGTGTTGGTGGAACGGTGTGTGGCCACACCAGATGTTGGTCAGCAGCTCTGGGGAGAGAGGGAGAGGGCAAATACAGCTGGATGAACAACCCTGGACGGGGCACACAGGTTTAAAGAAGCACACACGTGTGCATAGGATACACAGGCGGGCAGAAACACACTATGTAGAAAGCCTCACACTCACTCACACACACACAGAAATACAGATTTTTTGTGCCCACCCAACACGGAGGGCTCCGTCTGAGGAGAAGACCTATCAACACTTGAAGCACATCCTGGACACACACGCACACGCACGCACACACATACTCCTCACACTACCTGCTGGGAGAAGTGCACACGTACATACAGGCTGAGCTGGGTTACAGGTACGTGTATGCTTCCACTCACCTTGGTTACACTCCACAGGCTCACAATGCACACACGTCGTGCACACACACACGCACACGCACGCACACACACACACTCCCTGGGGTTTGCTCAACATCACACCGGGGTGTCTGCCATGGCCTCTGTGCACCTGGGCTGACCTGGATCGTCCGCGAATGCGAGTGTGAGCCCCCGTGCACTCACAGCCCGCCGTCTCTAGAGCAGGCACGGCGGAGGCGGGGGTCATGGGAGGAAGTGCTGTTGTACCGAATCCAAACACTCAAACACAGAAGTCCATGTACACCGATGGCGTCCGTAGAGCTGTGGCCACACACACACACACACACACACACACACACCTATTCACAGAAGACAGAGCGGGGCTTGGTGGGCTGCTGTGGTACCCCTGGCCACAGTCTACACAGGACAGCCCAGGTGAAGGGGGGAAGCTCAGACGACACACAGACTTGAGGTGGGGGCCAGAAAGGTGATTTGGCGCTTCTACACACATCTACACACGGATACACTCACACACACACACACACGCTGGGGTGTCCACACGTCTTGAGCATGTGCCGGCGGCATGCATGTTGGTGTGCATGTGTAATCACGCCTGCTGCTATCTACGTGCGGGGCCGGGGGTGGTCCATGGCGGGGTGAGGTCCAGGGACTCCAGGGTCTGACAGGAGGTGGGGAAGGGGGGGCTGCCTGGGTCTGTCTCGGGGGTGAGCCTGGAGCAGGGGATGGAGTGAAAGGGGTGGTGGGGGTATTGCTCCCAATGTGGTGGGGGAAGGGTCTGGGAGAGACAGGCGTGGGGGGCCTACAAGCCCAGCGTCCCCCCAATGGATGACGCCAAGACCACCCCCAGCACCACACAGCAAATGATGATCATGATTTTCTTCTGCAGGCAGAAAGGGTTGATAGGGAAGAAGGACGAGAGAGACAGAGAGATAAAGAGAGACAGACAGATGGGGGGAAAGATGGGGGAGGAGGTGTGAGGGAAGAGAGGAGGGGAGAGAGAAAACAGAAAAAGGAAGAGGTCAGAGCCAGAGATCAGAGATAAGGCCTCCCTCTGGATTTCAACACTCAGGTCAGCCCTGGCCTGAACCTAGCCCCAAGCGCTCCGCTCCAGCCCACCTACCCCGCCTGCCTGTCCCCATCCACAGGTCTGCTCGCCTCCCCCAAGGCCAGCCTGTTCCCACCACCACTGCCCCCCACCCCCAGGCGCCGGCCCACTCGTCACCCCCCACCCTCTTACCCTCCGGGCCTTGCTCTGATATTTCACAGCTTTCTTGGTGTCGGACACAGCTCGTTCCACATAGTCCACGGAATGTTCCACGTTGTACTCGATGCGGTCAATCATCTCACCCTGCAGAGAAGATGTGCATAGGATGGGGTGGGGGCTGGGCTGGAGGAGGGGGCACCCTAGGGATCTGCAGGAGGCTCCTAGAAGGTGGGGGAGAGGCTGTACCTGGCTTTCCACGAGCATGGCCATGTCCACAAACATGTCATGCAGCTCTCGGATGCTGGTTTCCAGTTTGATGATCTCGTTGTGCCTCGTCTCGATCTCATTCAGTGCCTGCTTTGTCATCTGTGAGTCCATTTTGATCTAGGGCAATGGGGTGGGGGGCAGGAGGGGAGGAGCTGCAGAGCCCCCTTCACTCCTGTAGCAGTTTGGATTCCGCAGCCAGAGGGTCTGGGTTCAAATCTGACTGTCATTTACTAGCTCTAACTGTGGGCAAATTGTTTAACCTTTCTGGGCTTCAGTTCCCACACTTGGAAAAGGTGGATGACAGCAGTGCCCACCTCCCAGCGTTCTTGTGAACAGTAAGTGAGTTACTATGTATCCACCAATTAGAACAGCATCTGCCTGGCACACAGTAAGCACTAAAGAGAAGTTTGTTAAGTTACAAGAAATAGAAGTTGGCCTGAGCCCACCACCTCACCCAGGGCTTCCTCTAACACACACACACACACACACACACACACACACACACAACACCAGGGAAGCCCAGGGAAGAGCAATAGGGGGGGTAGAGTACCATTAGTACTGGGGGCCCCTGTCTGGTCAAAGGCAGAGGACCCAGCAGAGAAAGCAAGTAGAAGCAGAGAAGGCCCAGATGAGAAGGCAGTGTGCCCACTCTGGAGCCCCCATGACATTAGGCGGGGGAGAAATAAAGAAATGCACCGCAGCCCTCAAGAGTCAGGGAGAGAGATTAACTCCAACCCACAATCAGATATTCCTGTCCCCCCCCACACACCTGGCCTGAGCCAGGCCACTCGCTTCCCAAACTGCTCACTGCTCAGACCTCATCAAGCCATTCCTCTGCTCTGAAGCCCTCCAGGGCTCCCCACGATTCCTCCCTGCTCCCCCCCCCCACAGGCTGTACACCTCACCCTATCCGGGGCTCGGTCTCCCTTTCTGGCTTCATCTCCTACATATCCGCTAAGAGCCAAAATCATCCAGTGGCTGTTTGG